ATCAATAGGTTTGTAAGAAAAGCTGGTTGTAAAAAAATGTTAATCAAAGCACATAGTTTTGTAAGAGATTCGACTTTATTGATAAATATACCATATAATTTACTTAAGTCCTAATAAAATGATTTTAATGCTTAATTTTTTATGTGATTTCATCATCATAGCATATGACCTCTCAACTTGATTTAACCTATTTAACCAACTTTTTGTAATCTCCGAAACAGTCCTATGCTTCAACTACCACATTCTTTCATTAAAGTAAAATTTTTTTTCTATATTATACTTTTAAGAACTGCGAGCATCTAAAATGAAACCAGCTAAAATATTCCATTTGGTAATAAGATTACACATATGCCATAATGCCATTTTAAACAACCTGGATGACACTTCGAACCATATGGTGTTAGAGACTGCTGTACGACAAAGATGTATTTTATGGTCTCTTTTTTTTACCTTGACAGACCTATTTACCAACTTGTGTGTTCGACGAGTGCAGTAAAAAACATCTTAATTTAGTTCGCCCAATTTTCTATCAAAAACTAAGATTCCTAGATGTAAACCATTTAGCATATTGAGTAGGTAGTCAAAGTAAGTAGTCGATCAAGAGAACTACCTTTCTAAAAACATATTCTTTATAAATGAAATATTAAACGGTTCAGAAAGTTGTCAGAGGCTACTATCAGACTGTTCATCAGTGAAGACGAAATACCTATTAAATTACCTAAATTCGGCGGGATGGATTTAGTCTCTATTCTTCTATGCTAGAGTTCTTGCGAGGTGGTAGCAAAACAGCGAAAAATCGCTAATTGAGGGACATGGAAGTTGTCTAATGGCTTGCCACTACAACCAACCAACCAACTATTAGGCTTCTTTGAAAATAATGATAAATCGTCTGGTGTGCTTACTAGAAAAAAAATGGAAACTTTCATATCATTGCTATGTAGTTTCTTAATAATTCTTATTTGCTTTATTTTTATTTATTGATATAAACTTTACAAACCTTAGTAGAAGTTTGTGATTCTAAATATTGTTAATATTATATGGGCATTAGATTTAAAATTGTGTACTGTATATTGTTGTACTACTGCCAATGCCATCAAATTAGATGGTTCCTTACAATGCATAAAAAAAGTCTATCCAAAAGGCAATTAAATGGCTAAATTTAATTTTATTTAAAATTCAATAAAAAGATATAATTGTTAATTTGTTGGTTTATACATTTATTTTGGTGTAAATTGAATTTTTTTTTAATTTTTTGATTATTTTTGAGAGGTCAGAAATGAAATATATTTACGATTTTTTTGTTGATTCAATTATTTTCTTTATTATTATTAATTATTATTAAATAATACACTATAAATGCACCCCGACCTAAAAGATCTATTATGTGCCTAAAGGCCCAACTAGAACAATTCTAGACTATTTATAAATCTCGTAATTGCTGTGGGTTTAATTTTTCCCATTTGATTTGGTACTATGATCCCGTTTTCAAGGTAGTCGAGCAGTAGCGTAACTACATTTTTTGGGCCCATAAGCAAATTCTAACTCAGGGCGTCCTACTGACATCTTTTTATACCCTTTACACGAGAAAGTGTTATATTAGACTTGTATTTTAGATTTGTCAAGATTTTCGTAACGCATTAAAGGAAACGTCTAAAATACCATAAAGTATATATCAGTACATTGTGACCGAAAAGTTTTCGGAAATTCTCATTTAAAATTCGCGCGCTGTATATTTTTCGATATTTTAAGTTTATGTAGTTTGGCAGCACTGTCCTTAATTACTATGCCAAAAATGAGCGCGATCTGTCAGACAGTTCGTTTACGGCAGCTGTTGAAACCAGTTCACCTCAGTAGTGCGTTGCGAAAAAAACAATGGGAAAAAAAATTGAACAAAGAGTTTGCATCAAATTTTGTGTTTCGAACGAAATTTCGTGTGCAGAATCGTTGCGAATGCTACAAAAGGCTTATGGGGAATCAGTTTTATCGAAAACTCAAGTTTATGAGTGGTACAAAGCCTTTCAGGACGGTCGTACGACCGTCGAAGACATAAAACCACGCCAAAGTCGCTCGAAAATCAAGGCAATGCTGATTGTTTTCTTCGATATTCGTGGTGTGGTGCATCATGAATTCGTCCCTGAAGGACAAACAGTCAATAAAGCCTATTATTTGACTGTTTTAAGACGTTTGCGTGAAAATATCCGCCGTAAACGGCCTCAATTGTGGAAGGATAATTCATGGATTTTTCATGACGATAATGCTCCCTCGCACCGAGCCAACATTATCAACGATTTTAAGGCCAAACATTCAATAAATACCATCGAACAGCCCCCGTATTCACCTGATCTTGCACCGTGTGACTTTTTCCTGTTTCCCAAACTCAAATTACCACTCAGAGGAACGCGTTTTGAATCCATAGAAGACGTAAAACAGAATTCGCAGAGGAAACTCAAAGCCATACCGGAAAGCGCCTATAAAAAATGTTTTGATGATTGGAAGAAACGTTGGCATTTGTGTATCGCTTCTAATGGAGCATATTTTGAAGGAGATAAAATAAATATTGATGAAGATAAAGAATTTTGCGTTTTATTTA